TTAAATTCTCTCTTTTGTAAGTATATGTCTTTTTACTCTCTTAATAAATAATTAATTATTATAAAACTATCTTATATCATAATAAAAACTAAATCACCTTTAAACCTATCTAAAATAAAGAAAATAAAATTAATTAATTATAAGTTACAATAAATAAATAAATAAAAACCCTATGCTCCTTAATTTGTTTTATACTAACTTCTGAACCCTCTTTGTGATGTTCTCAAGACCATCTTTGATCAGTGCCAAATCGAAACCATCTCACCTGCCTTAAGTAACATTATACAACATCGATGTTTCTGAAATGACAATTTGTCACATTCCTTATTGTCCTAATAGTGCCGTTCCCAACTGTGTAGCCTGTATCACTAGGAAAAGCTAATTGTTTTATTAAGAAATTGAATAACCTACTGATTAGTAATATACTAGAAAATTGAATTCATCTTCCCACAAAGTTCATATATCAGTCTTAAATATTCTTCCTTCTATGATGTCTGATTAGAATGATCAATTTCAGTTTTATGCATTAACTTAGTGATTTAATCAAATTTACCATTATTTGAAAAAATAATATAATCGAATGTACAATGTACAGTTAATGGTTGTGCTTAAGCATTAGCCAATAAAATCGACCTAGTCGACCAAGTCAGTCGATTCTTTGAGTGTATAAGAAAATTTGTGATACGTACAGTATATTATTTCACATATTAAAGGAGATCGTTATCATGCCTAATAATTAACCAATCATATTCATTTAAATCACATTTTGAGATTAACCAATTAGCTTCGACTTAGCCGGCTAAGTACATATTGACTTAGTCAAGTCGATAAATTAGAGTCGACTGCGAGCACTATTTACAAGATCCAGTTGCAATATCTGCTAAAAATGGAAATAAGATAAAATATATCAAAGAAAGTAAATTGCTTGACAAAAATATAATAAAACATTTTATCTGAACCAACATAATCCTACAAACCCAATTAACCCTGATTACTCAGACCAGGTCTTTTCACCTTAATCGAAATCTTATCAATATTGGGGCTTGGTTAAAATAGTTATAGTAGTTGGATGAAGTAATTAGTATTAGTGTTTATTAGTCCTCAGCTAACTTCAATAACGCACAAATGTTTTACGCATATCCATTTTAATCCAAATTCTAAATAACATTTCGTTAGGATTATCTGCAGATTTTTTAAAATGAATGAATGCTTTATTCTTATTCTTTTCCACTCCAATTGCATATTCGTAACAATAACCAAGCCAGAATATCTCATCCGGATCATTCATGCCAATGAAATTCAATTGATTAAAGGCGTCGGTGACTTGAATAATTGCATCCAATAGCTTAAGATCTTTTTAATTGATATTTAGACCCAAGAAATTATATGTTACATAAGTCATCAAAATGCTGTATGTAATATTCTTAGCAAATGATTTGCTTTAAATCTATATTAAATACTGTTTCAAGTAGTACATTCGTACGTATACTTCAATACTTTATGGAGAGTATGTTGTGCCACTACTTTTAAGTACTTAAAGTCACACTTGACCTAAATTCAACCGCTAAAATTAGATCTTGCATCAGTCGCCTAAGGTACAAATGTACGTAGCTACATACATACGGAAATTTATAAATATGCACCCCCGGATATTTTGGGAACATTTTTTATTCCGGGGCTCTATAATCAAATTAATCTTAACTATATTGAGTTTACATCATTTTGATTTACTGCGTAAGTATATAGTATATAAGTACGTATGTGTATTTTGTAACATAACGTAAGATGACGAGAATGGTATGTTACATAATCAAATAAATTATAAATAGAAAAAATTTCTACAGATCTTATGATTTTATATTTTTTAAATATCTTTATTAATTGGATCGGGAAGTCAGTTTTTGTTCTAAAATTTTTACGACTCAGAGAATTATAAAGTTGTTTGTGGAGTTAATTTCTTGATTCTAATTCAGGCAGATGACCTTTGGTAATTACACAGTATATACATTATTTTGAAATCATGAATTATGTTACATATTTTATTTATTTTGAATCGTTTAATGAATAAAAATTGTCAGCGCAACAAAGTCCATATTCATTTAAAGATCAATCAGATCAATCACTAACAGAATTTTCGTCGTCATCCACATTAATTTCGATTCCTGGACATAATGATATTGACGTATCATTCAAAAGTACAAGTAATAAATATGACGAAAATACAACTACAGAATATTTAAAAGTTGATATTGGAATATGTACAATTAACCAAGTTGAATCGATTAAGACTATTCGGGCATATAAACCCAAAGACATTTCACTTCTCTTTCGTTTTAATCAAGAAACGTTATCTCTTTGTTCAAATTCAATGAAAAATGAGGTTATGATTCCGTTGAACCAATTAAGGAGCTTTAAAGTGTCATCATCAATGATTATATGTTTTCGACTTGTACCGAATTTCCAAAAAAGGGTAATTGTTTTTCTTTTTATTATCGCTATATGTGTGTTATGTACTAATCGAACAATACCCTATGGTTGATTTTATTTTATTTTTTTAAAAAAAATTAGTATTTTCGTCATACAGATCTATCATTAATTAAACCTATAGAAGTAACTAAGGACCCTACAAATTTTAATATTGAACATGCTCGTTCGATGACACTTACACCGCTTAAGGAAGTTCAAGCAGAAACTTTGCATATTCTTGAGGCCGGAATAAATAGACTTTGGTTTGAAAAATATGGAATCGCTAATAAAATAACATTAAAGCCAAAGTGTCAATGGGTATATTTCAAGAATCATTTCTTCATTATGATACAGAATGTATACTTACTCTTTTAAATTTAATTGATAGTTCTATATAACTTGTTATCTACCGCGCCAAACACGAGCAGTATATTTTCCAGACAATGAAAATTTATATCATTTTATTATGTATCTTAAGGGAAGGTTTAAATTACCTATAACAAGACTAAAGTATAGATCAAGAAAAGGTGATATATGTTTATTATCAAATGATCAAGATTGGGAATCGGCAAAAAGCTCTGCCATAAAGACTGAAAATTTTGTGAGGTTTGATCTATTTATTGAATAGAAAAATGAATTATGAAATTCATTATTTGACATCCGGAACAGGGTTTTATATTAATCCATAAAGTTATGCACGACTCTTTTCAAAGCCAAATTTATTGAAAATAATATGACGTATGAATTAGAAGGATTCGTAAGGTCATCCCTGATTAAATTTAAGAGTTATTCATTATGAACTACTATGTTAAAGTCTACTAGACTTTGTTATGTTAGAGACAAATTTTATCTAAAATAAAACGATTCTTGTATGAAAAAGATATGTAATTACGATGCATGCATTAATAATTATTATATTGATGTTAAAATTTGGACCAATTTTGTAATATAAATTTTTAAAATTCTTTGAGCGCTTTCTTTCAGGTTATGATCTAAGGCTTGATAATAAAATAATATATTGTATACTCAAAATGGCGATAATTATTAACTGAGACGATTGGAAATTAATAATCGCAAAAGATGAAATTAAGAGTACTACATAAGATTGGTAATAAATCAGTAATCTATTTGTCTACATCTATTATCAGTAAAGAATGTGTTTAGTGTGCTTAAATACCATCCCAAACTATTCGACAAAGCCCACATATAAGTAACTGCATATATATAATGACAATAACCATATATGTAAATGAATACCAAGTACGTACCGTTTTTCATATGGAAACCGGTGATACATACTTTTCAACATTTATGTTAATGAATAATGCTTTATTTGTTGTTTGCATTACTTAATTTTCAAGACAATGTTAAAGCATAAAGTACCTAATGTTCATTAATATCATTGCTAAACTTTATACATAAAATAAAATGTGCCCTAGTTTCAGGTACACTTAATAATTCATTAATAACAATATATTTGCCATACATAGCTAGAATAGTTTGATCAATTAGTTCAAAAACCAAAAATTTAAAAGTAATATAGCAGATGCATTTAATCGATAATAAGCGACAAATATCGGATATACTAATTTTCCCCAACTTCTGTTGGCTGATATCAATTTATATGTTTAAAATAGGATTTGGAGTTAGGGTTAATGGGCAGTATTATACTAAAATAGTGCATGTAATTTTTTTTTATTCATACGCAGAAGTGATTTCTTAGACGAATTTTTGAGATAAATGTATCCTGATCTTGTTCTCTGATTGGCCAAAATCGAAACTTGAGGAAATTAGTAAACACCCATGACAATATCGAATATGTAACCATAGATCATAATCACACACTGTATTATCATGAGTTCAAATACTTACGGCCGGCAAGAACTATTTAACATCATGTAATGTAGCCTGAATTATAACCACTTTGGATATCGATATGTGATCTACAAATTATGTAATATTCATGCAGGATCAGAAAACAATACAGTAGTAGTACAGGTAAAAAAAACCAATCGTAATAGTGTAACGGATTGTAATATTTAACCATACACCGCGAACAGATATTATAATTGGCCATGTTTCAACAAACGATAATAATGCAAACGTTCATTCCCTTTAGATCGTTTCTATTTTCAATGTTAAATAAATTTATAAATCCTTTTCATACGCATGCGATGTGCCTTATTGTAACACTGCAAGGAAGTGCATAGAGAACAACTTAAATAAAGTAATACGTGCGTGCATAGTCATAAATAGTAAAGAAATTTTAACATTTTTAACTACTTTCATATTATCGAGACTGCATGTTTCTTTGATCGATACATATACAAATAACTCTCGTTATAGTGAAGAGATTTGTACCATAAAAAACCCTTTTCAAAATCCATTATAACGAAAGTTTATTAGTAAATTCTCCATATTATAAGGATTTTATATAAACTGGTTTTGAATATACCTTTACTATATCGAGAATTCACTGTATCGAGAGTGGCTTGTACGTGTCTTCCTTTAATATATTCATTAATAAAGAAGACATGTTAAACAAAGATGTTAATTTAGAGTATGATATTCTTGATAACTATGCATCTGAAACTTCTATAATAAATCAGCAAATTCTAACTGTCGAAAATTCATCTAAAGAACTTGACACTGAACGTCTTCCAAAACATTTTCAAATATCACAAAATTTTACTGACTCTTTAGAGGGAATATCAGAAAATGGTGATAACATAACTGTTGATGAGACTCAGCTAAGATCTGAATTAGAAAAGATTAAAGATGAACGACAACAATTAATCGAAGAAAATCTTGGCTTACAAGGTGATCTTAAAGAGTTAGAAGGTGAACGTGATAAATTAGCTAGGGTAATTGGCATAATGAAAACAGAATGGGAAAAACAATATCAAAAACTTCAAATGGGTTATCAAAAACTTCAAATAGATTTTAAAGAGTCAGAGATAAATCGAATTGCCTTAGAATCTCAATTATCAGAATTACGACAAGAATACGATAAGTTAGAAAAACCTTCTAGTAGAGTGGAAGAAATTACAGATAGACTACAAGAGGTAGAAAATCAAAAGAGTGCTTTGTCAAAAGTATTTGAGAGTCAAATGAAGGTGATAGCTGCTGAAAGGGAAGGGTGGCAACAACGTGAGACCGAACTTACAGATCATCAAAAATCTATAAATAATGCATTGAAAAAGCGTGAATCGGAAGTTAAAACCTTGAGACAAGAGTTGAATGTAACTTTGGCTGATAAACAAACGATGAAACAAAAATTAATAGAAGTCGGTAAAGAAAAGATGTTGGTAGACGGGCGGATTCGTGAATTAGAATCTGAGAAGAAAAAGTTTGGGGAAAAATTATTGAAGTTAACAGATGAGAAAGGGAAACTAACGAATAAACTAACGGATTCTAAGAAACAGTTAGATAAAAATAAAGCACAAATAGCGGCACTTGCTAAAAAACTAGCTGAAGCTGATGTTGAACAACAAAAGATAATACAAACATTTGAAAAATCGATGGCACAATCTGAAAAAACATGCGCAAATCTTAGAAATAAACTTAATGCAGTACAAAAAGAAAATGAACAACTTATTCAAGGAAATATTGTGTCATTTAAAAGAAATGTGTCGGAAATATCATTTGAAACTAATGATAAAATATCATCTGATAGCAGTACTACAGAAACATTGATTGACAAAGATAATGATAATACAATCAACCCATTGACGTTAGAACAACGAATAATCGAATTAGAAAATTCCTTAAAATTATCGAAATCTGATTGTGATAGATTGAATGAAAAATTGGCCCAAATACAAGTTGAATACTTAAATGCTGTTAACGATAAGGATCAATTAACGTTAGTGAAACGAGAATCAGATAAAAAGGTCAAAGCTCTGGAAGCACAATTAGAAAGTGTGAGTAAAATATTTTCACATGAGTCTTTGTATTTATAAATAACAAAAACATATTAACTTATTTCATTAGGTGTTGGAAAGGAACATGGAACTAATAATTCAAATGAGCTTAAAATAAATGATGATTTACGAAGCCGTGAGATATTATCTACATAAAATATTTGTCACAGTTATTTAATATATTAGTAATCTTTATACAGGGGATGACAAAAACATTTTTACATCTAAGGACTTGGTTTATAACTCTAAAACTTACTAATTAACTTATGTTCTTGATTTGTTTATATTAGTCCTTATTTCTTGATGATTATATTATTTTTAAATCATATACTTGCATAATTAGCAAAATTATTTGATTATTTAGAATTTTGATAGATGATAAATAGTTGTATTTCCGTGTAAATATTTTATAATTATTGGTTTAATTTTAATAATATTTTTCTATTTTATAGTGAACCTTTTTCTCTATCTAATATATAAAATTTAATCAATAATTAGTTAAGAGAAGAGTATATATCGAGTTAATTATTTATAAATTTACCTAATTAAGATATGATTTAAAAATAGTAAATAATATTAATAGTTTACAATTTTTTTTTGTTATAATTTTTAGTAAATTAGATTAAAAAATTAGATAATATAAAATTAAAATAATTAAATAAGTAAAAGATTTAAAGTAATAAATCTTATCTTTAGAATTAAAAATAATTTATATAAAACTTTGTTCAATAATTGTTTGAACTAAGTTTGTATTAATTATAATTTAAAATTTTAAAACCTAAAGTAAATAATAGTTTTGGTTTTATATAAGGTTGGTTATTATTAATACAGTAATAAGAATATATACAGATTTGTTTAATTTTTTATAGTAATGATAATAAGAGTATTAGTAAAAAGTCAAACAATAACTTATACAAGAAAATTATTACATAAAAAGAAAAAAACTAATCAAATTAAAAGTGCACACCTTAACAAGTCAAACATCAATTATAACAAAAGTATTGAAACCTCTTTAGTAACTTCATTATTAAACAAATATCAAATAACTAAATTAATACTAAAGATAAAAAAAAACTTTAACTCTAAAAAAAATAGAATTTGAGCCTCCAACATCCAAGTTAATTCAAGTTGAGTCAACAAACAAAAAAAAAATATAAGAAACTACAAAAAAAGTATAACAACACCAAATCAGCAGAAATTCAACTTAATGAAAGTGAGACAGAAATTCTTAAGAACGGTAAAAATGAACTTACAAAAAAGTAGTTCTGGCAACAGAGTGTGAACCTTTCTTGAACTGAGCCTTATTCTCTGTCTCTTATAAACAATTTATAAAATTTTAAGGTAAATACATTTTATGACAGTAAATTGAGTCATTTAAAATGAAATACTAACGCTAAAAAAAATTTAATCATGACATTGTGGCATAATTTAGTATGAATAATGTAAATACATATCAAACTTGAAACTCAATTTAAATAATTTTTAAACATACAAATTCCATAATGATCATGATTGCTAGAAAGCTAATTATAATTTCGTAAATATATACTAGATGAATTATTGAAAGTTCGAAGGGCCGCTTAATTCATTATATTTTTATAATGGACACCCAGATGTGTATACATATTTTAGAATAACGGTAATTTGGCTCAACTTGACAAATGACCACGTGTCGCGAAGCGGGATGTGTCAGCCAATCATTTGTCAGGTTGAGCCTTCTCTTGCCCAATAATGGTGTTATCCGGCAATTATGACCATGATTCGCAGAGTTATTGGCTGAGTTTTAATTTGAATAAACTTGATTACATGAATTTATTTTATTTATTTTTATATTTTACGATGATAAGAGTTTGCCGGATAAATTAGCAAACATTAAGATTATTAATATTTTGAACAATTACATAGATACTAACATTTAGGATAATGAATAAGTAGGATGTAGCTTAAGTATAATGGAAATTATTCCTTTGTCATTTCATCCTTTTTCTCTTCATTATCAGAATGCAATGATGGGCGACATCCCTCTTTGCTTGTATGCGTTTCGTCTTGTGTATATGAGTGCTATAGATCTTTTAATGTTAGATCACTTTAATACAAAAAACCATTAGAATAATTACTATTATAACTTACAGATTCAACAATGATTCCCTTAGCAAATCTTCGATAAAATGGTATATAATTCCCCTCAGTATTGTGTTTTTTATTAGCATTGTGATCATCAATGATGGCAAAAGATATATGTCGATAAGTTCGTGGCAAGTTCTCTCCACCACCAGCATATTCTGCCGAGATCACCTCATAAAATAGTTGTGCGATAACATCCGGAGGGTTTCGATACGCGCCTATAAAATATTTGATATTTACATAATAAATAAATATTGTTGTAATGATTAAATATAAATATGATTTTGAAAAATTCAACTTAACCACATCCAAATGCACTTAATATTATACAATCATGCCCTTTGAACAATAGATATTATACGATATCATGAGTAAAAAAGAAAAGAGAATTATAAGTCAATATAAATGTAAAAATTCAGATAACGCACCATTTTCTAGTCCTATGTTCAAAATCGCTCGGATCTTTTTATGGGTTTTGGCTTTCGCTTCACTATGTAACGTATGCCCACCAGAAGAATCTGAAATAATTTTTGGGCGACGCAAAGCGGATACAGCCTAATGATAATTTTGATATCAATTGTTTTAATTATTACGCAATTAAAGCGGTTGCCTAAATTTGCATTTTCATACCACAAAAGACATTGTTTCGGGAACTTCCAAGAATGAGTATTTATCTGCTTCACTAGATCTTATAACTGTAGCATTTGGACAATAAATGCCACCATATTCAGGGATAGGATACCATTCATTTTTTTTACGTTCATGATATTCAAAAAGATTTGTACGACGAAAAAGGTTTTCTTCCTGAGCTCCTGCACCGGACTTGTAGCCTTATTTTTAATGAATAAATTAGATCTCGATATGATATAATAAATTTTAAATTAATACAAATATTACATACCACCCCCAACACTTGTGCTCGATGCCATGTTCAATACTATAGGATTAAAACCGTGACTTTTTAGTCTTAATGCCTCAAGAAGACAGTCCATATTTACTACTTCAATAATGGGTGTTTCTTGCTTTTCAGCCACAACTTCCCGAACCAAGACAGAAGCATCTTTGTAAAACTTGGCTTTCTCAGTTTCAGCTGCTATTTTTGGACCGTCAAGCGTAACAAATTTTTTAGCTTCTTCATGATTGTAACCGAGCTCTTTAAAAGCCTTAATAGTTTCCTTTTGAACTGCTACACGAAATTGGCGCATTTTAGAATAAGACATTTTATTAAACTGATTTGTGACAATGCACTTACCACGCGAAAAATTATAACTGTGATCAAATACTCGAAAACAGGTACGTACCCCAAATTTTAATTACGCGGTAGCCCTGAATTGCCTTTTTTAGTTCTTTGAAGCCAAACATAAATTTAACGTTAGTTGTACGAACTTTTGTGATTTAATCACATAGTGCCCTAAATGTATAATCACATAATTATTTAAATAATATCTTAGCGATAATTTCATTTTTAAAAAAAATCGCAAGTTAAAAAAGAAATTTATCAGTACTTGTTAGAAGTTATGGACGAATACGAATATCGTTTTATATCGTTTTCCATTGGACGAAACCAATTACATCACTGATTAAACTTATGAGCCGCGATTAAAGAATAAATTACTTCTCAAATATCGATATTATTTTCGTAATAATTATATATTTATTAAAATAATTCTTTCGCTGTTAATTCTAACATTTGCTCTTTTGAGTTTTAGTACTTTCAAGTTTTTTTCATAAGTAATTTCGCGTGAACGATTAAATAATTTTTGTCAATAATTTCGCATGAACGATTAAAAAATTTTCGTTAATTTTATTGAAAAATTTTACTATATTGTGTAAAATTTTTAATTAATAAATTAAGATATTCATACAGTCATCTCTGAAGTTTCAAAAAAATATATATATTTATGAAAAAAAAACTTTACACAAAACTGTTAAAAAGAAACTACAATACCAATATCTTCTTAATTATATTATTAAAGTAAACTTTTATTATTATTTCAAAATATAAAAAAGGCTTTTAATTTTGTAAGTATCAAAATGCTAACTTTATATTATATCTAAAATTAGAAAGAATTAAAATTTTTTTTAAAAAATAAGAAATTTATTTTAAACCTATATAAAATAAAATAAATAAAAATAATTACTAAATTATAAATCAAATAAAGAATTTTATATAATAATTTTAATAATTATTTTATTTTAGGCAGTTATAACAGTACTTTATTAATGTATTTGTAATTATATATATAATTATAAAATATTATTTAATATATAAGTCTGTTATCATTTGACTATTCAAACAATACCTAAATGCAACCTGTTACACTAATTCAGTTAGAACTAAAATTATGACTTGTCTGATTCTGTCTTACAATAAGGTATCATAATCTTAAGACATTTTCTTGTAAAAAAGAAAAAAACTAAAAAAAAATTTTAAAATTGAGTATAGAAAGAATGAAAATAGGAAGTAAAATAAAATTAATAAAAAAAATAAAACTAATCTATAAGAAGAATAAAAGAGAAAACTTACTAACAAAATAAAACTTTATTTTGTCATTTATTATTTATTAAAATAGTTTCATATTTACTATAGATTATAGTTCTTCTCTAGAAACTAAGTACTCTTAATCAGAATAAAAACAGTATTTACTTATAAAATAAAGTTTAAGTCAGATATTTTTCATATAGAAGAAATTTTTAAGTAGTTGAGATATTATATCAAGATTTGGAATCTTACACTTAAGTGATCAAATTTTTTATAAACTTTTATAACTATTTTTTTAAAAAATATTATATATATAGCCTTAAAATATATGTATATTTTAATAAATTTTTAGTTTTTTTGAATTAAATCTTTTTTTAATTTGTTTTATATAATTAACTAATTTATATATTTGTTATATTTCTTATTTATTATGTTCAAACAAACATGTAAATACAAAAATAAATAAAATCTTTACTTTTGGTAAAAAAAAAACAAAAAAAAAGATATAAAAAATTTATTTTGTTATTATAAAGATCTAAATTAAAAAAAG